ACGTTTCTCTCGTTCACCCTCCATTCGTGCCTCTTCAAATTCTGCAGCACTGCTGGTCACAGCTGACCTCCAACTGGAGCACTTCCCAGTTCTCAGTGTCTATGCCAGAGTTTTTAAGCTTGGCTTTGAGCCCATCTTTCAATCTCTTTTCCTGTCCTCCCACATTCCGTTTTCCGTTCTTGAGTTCGGAGTAGAGCAACTGCTTTGGGAGATGGTGGTCAGGCATCCGGACAATGTGGCCGGTCCAGCGAAGTTGATGGCGGAGGACCATCGATTCAATGCTAGTGGTCTTTGCTTCTTCCAGCACGCTGACATTTGTCCACTTGTCTTCTGTCGTGTTGCCAGGGCTCTGCCTTATTTAGGTAGAGATGAACCAAACTCCCAGTTTTATCAAACTTGCTGGCTGTTTTAATAGAACAAAATATAAAACATAAAGATAGCACCTTCTCCTGAGCACCTGGGCCAATCACTGGGCTTCTGTCGCCTCGGTGTCCTGACAAATCAGGAGAGAGGGAGGCGGGACGAGAGGAAACAATGCATTCTTGAGTGGATTATGAAGATTAGGAAACGTCCAAGTGACCAGCAAGTCCTAAGGGCCTGTGAGCCAGTCTGGCTATTGTCACTGAGTGGTTGCAATAAACATTGATGTTTGGCGAGCCTGCCATAATCCGGATTTTTCCAGTGCTGAGACATAGGAACAGTGGGGAAACAAATATATCCAAAACTACAGGGGTCAGCTGTCATACTAAAAAACAATTATCCATCATCTTCCGTCCATGTCTTAGGGTGTTGTCTCACTCATCCAAAGCCTGTCTCCATAACCACGTCTTCACCTGTTTCCTAAATGTCAGGATAGAAGGGGCGGTTCTGATCTCCGGTGGGAGAGAGTTCCAGAGTCACGGGGCCACCACCGAGAAGGCCCTGGCCCTCGTCTCCACCAGGCGTGCTTGCGAGGCCGGTGGGACCGAGAGCAGGGCCTCTCCAGACGATCTTAATAATCTTGATGGTTCATAGGGGAGAATACGTTCGGAGAGGTAAACAGGGCCGGAGTCGTTTAGTTAACACTTCCTATCAAAGGATTCTCCCAGGCAGGAAGCAGCCAGGCTTTGAAGCTGCAAAGCTGTTCAGTGCTAATCAAGCTGGCCAATGGCAACATTCACGCTTGCCTCCAACAGACAAGAGTTGTTTCTCCCACCCTGGACATTCTTCCACAGATAAATTTAGGACTTCCCCCAGGCAGGAAGAAGCCAGGCTTTGAAGCTGCAAGACCATTCAATGCTAATCAAGCTGGCCAATGGCAACATACACACTTGCCTCCAACAGACAAGAGTTCCTTCTCCCACA